GTCAGGCGTTGCAGCCTGCACACTTCTTGCGCTTATAGTCATTCACTCAAAAACTCATCACTGTTTTACCTGCCACTGCAGAGCCCAGACCTGAACATGGATGATCTCGCCTTTCCAGCAGCCTTCATGATGTGTCCTTGGTCACAAAAGAGAAGGCGAGATCCGATCTCTGTAGTCGGGAAGTGCTGGTGTGGCTATGATATCTCTCTGATGAAATTTGAAATGTTTGATGTTTCCTGTGTTTGTTGTTCCGGGGCATCCTCGAGCAAGAGCGGAGGCGGTTATTTGGAACGGTTTCAGCGGTTATGAGTCGAGTGATTGCGACCCAGACTAAGACTCTAGTCCCACTAATCGATCCTATACATATTGTAGATATGTCTATTGAATGTGTTGAAGTGTTTCTTTCCCAAAAGAACACATTCATTGAGCACAGTAACTACTTGCAAAGTCTTGTCAAAAAGTCACCAGAAGTTTTTGTTTCCGGAGGAAGTACGGAAAACTTGTATCACACAAGTCACAGGAAAACCACGCGTCTTGATTGTCGTAACTTAAAGTTTCATGCCATATAGCAATCTTCAGACAACTGATTACGGTGATGCACAGCTAGTATGGTATTTATACAGCAGCATAGGAAGGAATCTGTGAAGGTTTGAGGTCTGGTGGGTGCAAAAGTCCTGGATGGAAAATGTGCCAAACTCACATGGGCCGTGAGTGAGAAAAGAAATGTGATATGGCAGGAAGGCAAGCAAGGCTGTGTGAAAGGATGATAATGGAGCCGTCAGATGAGAAAACAGACCTTATCGCAAAAACTGTACAGTGCAGAAAAGTGCACTTGAAAGTTGGCGAGTTTACCCACTGGTGCGTCTGGACAGCCAAGCTACAAACCGTCGTATTTCAGTCAAATATCGGTCTTTTGGGACAATCCAAGTATTATAATTATGATAATGTGGCTTGCCTGTAATCACAATCATACAGGTGCAAGATGCCACACACTTTGGTAAGCGCTTAAAATAAGTTGGAAAGAAATGACCACGATGACGCGACGTCAAGCGAGGCCATATGCAAGATTCCACACCCATAATTAGAAGGGCTGCAGACGTTTGCAAATGGCTGTCGCTCGTCATGTAGCTGCAAGTCACGTGACTCCGTACCCACTAAGCAGGAACTTGGCAGAGTGCCTGCACTTTGATACGAGCTCCGTTCGCTTGTTGAGGGAGGTGCTGCGATCGGATATGCTGATGTGATATTTCTCTGCGATACATAGGTTGCAACGCTTGGTGACATTGGTGTAAGCCCGTGCACGTTCCTAGATGGACCAGCCAATCTCATAGGCCTTGTTCTGGCGTTTTAGGCTCCAGACATACTTTGCCAGCTCCGTACTTGCTTCATATCGCTCGTGGCGCAGCGACGTCATGTGATTTCCATACCTGGACTTGAAATCCGGTGCCGACATTCCAGTGTATGTCTTCAGGGCACTGTCCGACGTTACGTCGGCCTCATACACCACATTGGTCGACTTGCATTCACCTTACAGTGGACAAGATGCGGCGACTCGGCAGTTGCAGGGGACTCTCTCGTGCTTTGGTTGCATCATTTTCTTGTTGTGGCCTTTGATCCGCGTTTCCATATTAGGCATGCAGCTATAGCCGACTTTCAAGGTGTTTCTGTTGAAGAGCTTTCGCAGTTTGGCGTTCTTGGGGAAATGCTTGCTTACTAGTGCGAGAAACTGGCCTCCGATGTTTGTCCTGACATTGGCGCTATACGGAGGATTGAACCAGATGATGTCTCGCCCGTGTTTCCTCTTGCGACTTGACTGGGTGTTCACATCGTCGTACACAAGCACTCTGGGGTGGCCACTGGCAGCTAGCGCGTCGGCGTACTCAGGCACGGCTTCCTCAAAGACTTCCTTTGAGCTGGAAATCATCGCCAGACGCTTGTTGATGCCAACGGGTAAGCTCTTCAACACCTGCGGTGGGTGGTTGGACTTTGCGCTTACGTAAAGCGGAGTGTCGTTTGGCTTACGGTATGGCTTGTACGTACCGGATTCCAGGCACATGGTTATATCCAGGTAGTTTACCGTGCGCAGGTTGCTTTCTATCGTTATCTTCAGGCCGCACGACTTGAATACTTCGATTATTTGTTTTCTCACTCTGTCCGCTACGGGTCCACTTGCATCCTTCAGCACTGCAAGTCCATCGTCACGGTAGAGCCCCACCGACGTCCAGTCCAGGTGCACAGCTAGCTTGTGGAGGATGTAGGCTCCAACAACTTCACAAGCCTCCGCACCGTCGTATGCACCCATGGTAACGTCGAACATATCACCTCGGTCTTTCTTAGACCATGCCTGACCCTGGGCAAATAGCAGTGACTTGCGGGCATGCATAATCACATTCATGTCGTCGTCGCTGACCTGCACATGCTGCTTAGCAAATTCCAGGGCGTCCTGCAAGAGCTCCTTCGTGATCGACGGGTAGAAATTGACAATGTCAAATACTACAAACGTATGGCGCTTTTTCTCTTGAACCAATTAGTTACATCGGCCGTGCTTCTCCAAAGCATCGCCCCTGTAGCGTCACGGAGCTGCCTTGTAATGTTGGCTAGGGTGCTCTTGCTGACGACGCCTAGCTCACTTTTTGCTGGATTTATTAGGCGGCACGGTAGGGCACGGTGGAAATTCTCTTTATGGTCTTTTAGCGTTATGAAACATTCGGCCTTGGCGAGTACCTCCGTCCTGTCCGCTATGTCAAGCCGTTCCGCGATTTCCCTTGCCTCCAGGTTGATTTGACTGTACGCACCCTCCGGTGCATGCTGATACGTCTTGGTGATGTTGTCGTGTAACAGTTTTTTGTAGTTATCGACCGTTGTACTATACAGGTTGCGCGTCTTGTCGGCGGGTACTATCACGTCTGGCGAGTTGCTGATACGCTGCAGGTCTTTCTTTTCATGTTCCTCGCCCATTCTAAGCACCTATAGCCATCACAGCGCGTGGAAATTTCCATCTTGCACCTGTTTTGTTGGTGCATTGAAGAGCAAGTATCTCCCCTCCTCCAACTCATTTTAAGCGCTTACCAAAGTGTGTGGCATCTTGCACCTGTATGATTGTGATTACAGGCAAGCCACATTATCATTATCATCCTTTCACACAGCCTTGCTTGCCTTCCTGCCATATCACATTTCTTTTCTCACTCACGGACCATGTGAGTTTGGCACATTTTCCATCCAGGACTTTTTGCACCCACCAGACCTCAAACCTTCACAGATTCCTTCCTATGCTGCTGTATAAATACCATACTAGCTGTGCATCACCGTAATCAGTTGTCTGAAGATTGCTATATGGCATGAAACTTTAAGTTACGACAATCAAGACGCGTGGTTTTCCTGTGACTTGTGTGTTACTGCTCTGCTTCCGCATTGAGCACTCTATCGATCCGGAGGACTCCGCTATTTGAAAACATGTATCATGTTGGTCCTCTCTTAGCTTTTCACCGTAGTCTTACATTACATTGTAGTTCATCACTAATTCATCATGGCAATTACTATTATGTCAGCATCAGTGCTTTTTAAAGAGACTTGTAGAAACTTCTTTCTCCGACCTAGGAAGTAGGCAGCAGCACTCGAGAATTCCTGCTGTGAAACGGCTTCAATTTGTGTGCAGAATAATTGTTTATGAGTGATACATGAAATATTTTTTGTTTACGAGGGATACATCGAATAGTAATTATGAGGGATACGTCTGGTTTCCGCAAAACCATCGAGTACCATCAAGTCGGCTGAATAGCGCGAACTCCGGTGTGGGGAGCAAACCCTTTCTTACCATATTTTCCAAGGAGTATAGGCCACACTTTGAACCCTCAAAATTCAACCCCAAAAGGGGGGTGCGGCTTATACCCTGATGATCACATTATGGTGGCTGGGGTGGTTTTTAAGGTAATTTTGGCTACATTTGGACTGCATTTTTGAGTTTACTGGCAAGAGGAGATGAAATTTGAAAATTGAGAAGAAATTTGGAAATGTTTTTCGTGAATCTCTGGAGAATAGCCTTCCCTAGCTTCCTATAGTTTTCTTTTTTCTTTCGGATAAAATTTGAAAAAAGGTTTATGAAAGGTCCGTGTTATTTTTCCACAGACCTTCCATAAACCTTTTTCAAATTAAGTCCGAAAGAAAAAAGAAAACCATAGGAAGCTAGAGAAGTCTATTCTCCAGAGATTTACCGAAAAAACATTTTCAATTTTCATCTCCACCTTGCGGGTAAACTCAAAATTTCCCGAAAAAGTACCACCGCCCGGCCACCTTAACCCTTTACCGGTCTACCATAAGCGAAACGATACTAGTATCGGTACGTTTTTGCCCTCATTTTTTGGGGTCTTGTTGCTAGACGGCCACCACGGCATTGTTACGAGTGTAATGTATAGTGGTGTCATCTGCTCACTGTGAGAAGGGGTAGGGGCAGATAATTATGAAGGGGAGATGCTGGCTGCTCTCACCTGTGTCATCGCAATCAGTTGGAGAGAGACTCTAGTTGGTAACTGGAACTATCCGGCAGCACTGATACTAGTAAACTATAAGGCAATGCATTCACCACGGTGAACCGTGGCAAGGCACTCGATCGAATGGCCTCCTCGAGTACTCAAACCTCGACGATTAAAGTCTGTATTGTTCGAATAATAACATTTCCATCGGGTGGCGCAGGGATGGACTCGTATGGAGAGCCAATGATTAATTTCATTGGCATATGTTCACGGAGCACCGCGGCCACACATATACACCCACTGTTGAAGTTTGATTTCACGGTGGTTAAAATATGTGTTACTCTCTTCTCGCAAAATTAGAAGACATTAATACTTCGCCAACATTAAGCAGTTTACAGTAACTAGTGGTGTTAATGGACATTAAAGCGTTACTTATAGTTCCTTGGTCGCTTTCTCGTAGTTTCTTGGTAAATTTCTTCGCTATAAATAACATTTCCGTGCATTTTCTATTGTGTATGCTTATCCTTGCAGGATTTGCCTTGCTCTTAGCACTGTTGATTCTCAGCTGTGTGCCGCATTGTTATGCAGTGGGTGAGTGACAGGACACAGACTCTATCACGATCATTGTTTATTCTCCTGCTGAAGCAGCGCACACGCTGACAAGCACATACTTACACACATGCGCACACACACACACACATACACACGCGCACGCACGCACACACACGCACACACACGCACACATGCACATGCACCCCCCCCCCTCCCCTCCCACACACACACATGCACACACCTCAGACCTCAGACCTGCCCATCGCGGAAGCGATGATCGCGAACAGCTATGTTAGACATAGCAACTTGTGCTGGGATTACACCATTCAACAGTTTCCAAGACTGAAACACATGCACACACGATTCAGAGTCACACACACACACACACACACACACACACACACACACACACACACACACACACACACACACACACACACACACACACACACACACACACACACAGAGAAAATGAATGGTTCTGTATTAGGGGTGAAAGTTGGCGCTGAGAACCCGAGTTCGAGTACTCTGATTTTCTCCCATCGAATATTCGAGTATTCGAGTATTCTTAAAATCATAAAAATCGCACACCAATGGCCTTAAAAATCACATGATACAACCCTGATTGAACCGATTGGCAGTCCTTTTCTCGGGTGTATTGGCTGGGGAGTCATTTGGGCTCTCTTTACTCGTGTACAAGTGCTCACCACACAGTCTGCACATCAATATCTGCTGACTGCTGCTCTGAAATGCAGACTTCGGTGGCAAATGCATGTACCATGTGTGAGCGAGAACTCTGATTTATTCCGAGTACGATTATATTTGAAAAATCCAAATGAGTATTCGAATATAATTGGTATAATTGTTTCACCCCTAGCAATCACGTATAGTTGGTTTAAACAGTCCAAGATCATTCAGGACTGTATACTTCACATAGATATATTTTTCTCCAAATTTCCGAACTATTATTAGGCACTTCAGTCACGTGACATGGCCTGTCAAAAAGTGCTAACGCCGAATCGCGTACATGCGTGGCACCAATGAAAGCCGCATGCATAGATCTATCTGTAGCTGCACGGAAGCTGCACAGGGCCTTCGCGCAGCGTGTAGTTGAGGCCCTCAGCTTTCGTTTGAGCCCACATACGCCATGATGCGGCAATTTTTTGGAACTCACGTACAGTTCGAGTAAAATCGGCAAGGATTTTTCGGGCATTTCACTTGGTTGCATGCATTTGCCACGTAGGTCATCGTCTTCAGCCTCTTATTTCCTTTCGGAATCAGTTGTCCTCGTTTGTCCGACACTTTGCGCATTGCTGCGCAAGAAGAAATAATGCGAGGTGTTATTGAAAGCGAGCCGCGGCAGGCGTCCTCCTGGCAGTAGTCCTTGTTCGTCGGAGCCCATGCGCATGGCTGCGCAAGAAGAAATATTGCCAAGTGTTATTGGAGTGGCATCGGAGCAGTCGTCCTCTTCTGCAGGCGATGAGTAGGACAGTATATATTTCGGCGACTGGACCAAGAGAGCTGACATCAAAACGGCCTGCTTGGAACAACAAATTGTCAGCTGATCAGCAGGTGGCTTCCAGCGACCAAGAAAAGCATTGACGGTGAGATTATATACCAAGAATCCAGCACACACTCTATGCACAAAATCTCTCATGCTGGAGTTGCTGAAGTTTCAGTAGTCCCAAAAAATTGCCGACGATGTTGTGCATGTAATAGTTTGTCATTTCTTTCCGTCAAATACCCGGTAAATTCGAGTTTGCTCAGTCTTCACCACGTCAGTACCAGACGACCTGAAGTCCTGCACTACTATCGCAGATTTCCGCGTCAAATTGGCTCTTTGGCTAAAAGACAGCTTAACTCTTAATCATTGTTGTGATTTGCTTTCAAGCAATATGCATAATCAGTAAATTGATGTTACTGTTTTTGTTTTGGTTTTTTTTGGTTTCCCGTTCTCGGGGCCTTCTATTCGGTACTCTTTGTAGTTGTATTTCTGTACTGTTGAGCTATCCGAATTCAAATAAACATAAAAAATATATAAAAAAGTACTGTACATGTGTAGCGGGCCGCAGTCTCTCGGAGGCAAGAACGCACAAGGGTCTCAGTGAACACACTGTAATTGGCAATTGAAATGTACTGGCAACTGGCAATGAAATTAACTTTAACTGATTGGCAACTAAATTAACTAACTGGCTATACAAGAATAGTGTGCAGCAGCTTTGATACAAAGGCAGACTCCGTACGCTAATGTACGGGGATACAGTATGGGGATGTGTTATACTCTAAACACTATACGCTTTGAAGTCCCCAGCGTGCCAACGCTACACATGTAACAACAATGTGTTCTGGCACTGACTTATTGTAGTTACTTTATCTTTCCTCAAAGTCTCATCTTATGCTTTTCCAAAAGCTTCTCTGCACTGTTTTCATGCTGTTGCGATGGAGTTGCTATGCTGTTGAAATGGAGTTGCCATGGTGACCACACCCGATATTTTCGTCTGAGGTGCCGGACGGGTGAAAAATGCTTTTTTCCAAAAAAAGTTTTCCAAACCATGCTGTTTCTGTATTCATCTGGTTATTTTGACCTGCTTCCAGCGAGCCTGGTATTTTGCCACTACAGAAACTGAAGCAAGTCCTGCCAGTTTCTGATATGCTGCTGGTGCCGTCGAAATACTGAAATTGCCGTTATTCAATTCTCCGACTTTGGGTGGCCATATCTCCGTGCCAAGTTATTCTTTTTGCTTCAAATTTTCTGTGGAGTCTTATTGAACCTATCTGAGTCGGATACAAGAAAGAAACACGAGTAGTTCTGGTTTTGAAAAAAACGCCTGAAGTGCCAGCTATTATACCATAGAATCCCGCGGATAAGCCCACCCGCGTATAAGCCCATGCCCGCGCATAAGCCCAGGGAAAGTTCGAACATCACAAGGCTTCGTCGTACAAGGCCATGGGCCTAAATTGTACCATGAGTCCATAAATTATGGACTCTTGGTCCTACCATGTACATGTACATGTATGATGATTGTACATGTACGTAGTACGACATGTTTAGGGTTTTTTTTTTTATACATTTAAACATAATCATCGGTTGTTTTTGTTTGCACAGTGGCTTTCAGCAATGTACTTCTCACTTCCTTGGCACTTTTCAATAGCACAATGTTGGTGTCATCGTATAAGCCCATGCCCGCGTATAAGCCCATGTTCTCGTATAAGCCCACCGAAATGTCCTTGTGAAACAGATAAGCCCATGGTACATCACACTGCATTCGTTCTAGTGCTGAGTCAGGTAGCATTTTCTTCGTGTATCAGGTTCGGGTAGTTTTCCACCGGTAGGCCAGGTACCCGATTAGGTATTGTTTCCATGGTAACATGTACCCGATTAGGTATTGCTTCCAATGTAATACCACAATGCTGGTAGGTTCTGGAAAAGCAGCGGTGACCACTTGTCACTCCAAACGACAAGCTTCTCCTTGCGCCACCGACAATTTTTGGTGCGATCGTTGATGTCGATGTCGTTTAATTAAAGTCGTACAACAAACAGGCATATCTGCCTCTTTATATGAAGACGACTTCTGGCAGTAAAACATTTTAAAGAAAAGAGAAAGGAAAAAAAGTAGCTCAAAGGCCCGTGAAATGATGATGAAATCACACTTCTTCAAATAGCGAATGAAAATTGGTCGTTAAGACGTTAGACTTTGTGACCCGTTAGACTTTCTGGTTTTACAGTAGCTAGAATATAACCGGATGATCGTATTAATATGTGAAACTCAGAGTTGTAACAAAGCTTTCACTCTCTCTCTCTCTTGAGTAGCCAGAATAAAATGAAAAGGAGCGTGAGAATGCAGCAGCACGGGGTTATGCCTAACATGTGTAGTGTTAACTTATGCAACGGTAGCGGTAGATGAATGTGGCAGTTGTGAGTGCTTGTGGGCAAAACTGGTGAGTGCGTATTATTTGAAAAGTGTGAGTGCTACAACAATTATTTTTGCTTGCATAGCACAGGATCACGTGTACGAATATAAACAGCTTCCAACACCTGAAACGTGCGCAACAAGTAACATTAAACCAGGAATCGTCAAACAACTTACGACAATCCGGACAGGACACCAAATGCTTGAAAATGGCAGACTTCTTCTTGTCGACTCCTCCTAGTCAGTATCCCTCTCGTGTTGGTTGGTTGGTTGGATTTATTTAAATAAATCCAACCAACCAACCAACCTCTCGTCCTCCACATTCTCATCCTCCTCATTGGCCACGTGCACTGTACATGATGTCATCTGCGACTTCTGGTTTTCGGGTGCTATTTTATACCTGTCTACCCAAAGTCCTCACAAGTAGCACGGGTACCCGACTACCCGTGCACACCCCTAATTCATTCGTGCTTGATGGTTGCTCCTTATTGACTTGAAAAAATGTGGATGCGTTTTATGGTCAATATCCCAGGTTGAATATAGATTGTCTTGGTGCAATACAAGCCTGCTTTCTGTAGTTTTCTAAGTGGTAACCTTGGTTTATACCGCGAAATTGTCGCGTTGGAAATTTGATTTCCATATATGGAAGGAAGTAATGTGTGCTATGTGTAGTGGCTGAAGTTAAACAAATACAATAGATGCCCGAACAATTTTATCAACAATTATGATAATTACCACATATCAACTAACGAGGTTTTGACGACCTGCCTAATAGCCTAGGTGTGAATTTAATTTACTTCTGCTTGCAAAGTTTGGGTTTCTTTGTGTAGATTGTATGCTTTGTGTTGATAAAATTGTTAGAGTATCTAGTGTGTGAGGGTGTCTAGTGTGATTGTATCCGTTATTATCGCAAAGTAGAAACTGATTGTAGTTGCAGATCTCCAGGCCAGGGCCAGCATATTGACGATTCTGGATAGGCCTCTGCAGCATTTGATACCGTATTTCCGCGCATATAAAGCCATGGCGTTATAGGTGAAACATCGCTGTTTTGGACCATATTTTTGGAGAAAATAGCCTCGGTTTTAACGCCATGGCGCTAAAAGTGAGAGACGCGTACATGCAAAAAAATCGGCAGAGTATGAACTTGGAGTACTCGTACGGTGCCGTTGCACAGTTATCTCGAGCATCCATGTACTTTCAATTTTCCCTGAAAATTTCAAATTGTGAACCTATTGGGTGGTGTACAAGGTGGCATACAAACTTGTGTGAAGGTGCGGTGGCGGCATGGCATGTGACAGTGGGGATGGGTACATGCAGAGAAAATCGCCGCAACTGTAGGTTCACTGAAAGAATTGAACTCACCTTTAACGCCAGATGCAACTTCCTCCGCATTGAATTTTGTTCACTTATAACGCCATGGCTTTATTAACCCTTTACCGGTCTACCATAAGCGTACCGATACTATAGTATCGGTACGTTTGGCCCACATTTTTTTGGGGTCTTGTTGCTAGGAGACAGCTAAAATGGCGCTCTACGCGTAGCTGAGGTCCAAGGCTTTCTGACGATGTACAAAACAACCATGCTTACCATACAAATTTTTGCCGTATCGATCGACTGAAGTTTGTTGAAATTGGAAAAGACGACCATCCGCCATGCGCGCATTTTAAGAATGCGAGTGCATCTCTTGGAGCCGTGTTTGACAAGCGTTCTGAGAGCAATAACATCACCAGTCCAGGCTAGATGTCCCGGGAGGTTTTGCAGTGTAGTGTGTTGAGAAAAAGAGCTCCGTTGAGTCCTGCTAGTTCAAAAATATATCGTCCACGAATGAAGAAACAAAATTCTCCAAACAGAGAGGAAGCCTTCTTGCAGCCGACACGGCGACAGCGACTGTCACAAGGACTCGTCAGGTGCGATCAGCTGATTCGCCTCGCCGTGAGAATCACGGCATGCGTAAGCTCGCGCCTGAGTACTCATCTGAGCGAGAGTGAATCTGACGCGAGCAGCGCTCAGATGAACAAACCGAAACTGCGATATCGTGGAATGGGAATTGCTGCTGCTGGCGTATCGCCGATGGCGAGGTGTTGGTGTTCAATGGCGGTATTGTAGAGAGCCTACATTTCTTGTAAAGACGCAGCCCTTACCTGATTGTTAATCGTACGACTTCAGCTCCATCACGAACTTGGTATGCCCTTCGTGCTGTGATATTCGTGTATTTCATTCGCAATTGTATTTTCTCGCCACTTGAAGGGCTACCATGGGCCCTATCCTTGCCTGGACCTAGTCATATTTGAATTTTCTGGACGCATTCAGGCATACAGATTTTGAAAATATATGGTTTACCCATACCTACATCACATGGTTCTTGAGTTATTGCTGGTTGTGTGTACATGTATTTGCATGACCACCCCTCACATACATTGAGTTAGACCGGCAAAGGGTTAATGAGGGTGGCCTTATATTAGGCCTTGGCGGATAATGCTCGAAAAGGTGGCAGATTCTGCTTTTTTTGCACCGAAATTGGCAGAACCATACAAACCTTATGGCGGGCAATTCCTCGAATTCTGCTCCATTTCTTTATCCACATACCAAACATGCATGAAACTTACCAGAAAAAGTACCGAATTCTGCCAATTTTTCTGCCGGCATTATCCGCCAAGCCCTACCTTATATTCGGATATAACGCCATTGTCTTATATGCGCGGAAATACGGTGGTAATTATGTCCAGTGGTTGTCTCTTGTTGTCGCACTACATGTCACGCTTATTGAGTCATAGCCAGCAATCGCATGTCATCACGTACATTGAAACTCAACATAATTTCGTGAATGGACCTTTTTTCAGGATCACTTTTCAACGAGGACGAAGCAAAGTCGGCCGAACTAAGCCTAGAGGAAGAAAATCACCCTCTCCACTTCACCATCACAATACTGACATAGAAACGAGATGAAACAACTAAAAAATTCACAAGAAAACTGTACGGCCATCATCGCACTGACTTTGGTCTGACTTTGGTCTGAGAATTTCTATCACGATCAAAAATGTACGAGGAGCACTCAAAAATAAGCCACAGACGTACCTTTATCGCCTTCTACTCCTTTTTCAAGGCACAAAAGTCGACTCTCCACTTTCAAACCAGGAACTAGACATACCAGTGGTCCTTTTCAGCTGCTCCACGAGCGCAGGAAATGTTCACCAAGGGGCGCAGAGCAGCATCCATTCCAGAAAAATAGCGAAAATACGAGTGAGACTGCATGCCTGAGTACATGAGTACATGTATGAGTACATGCAGAAAATAGCCAATTTCAGCGTTTCTGCTCCAAACAGCAAATAGCTTCGACTAGAAAAAAAGATAACACCAAAGGATCAAAAATCAACCATTTTCTGCAGTTTTTTTGCAGATGGCTTCCTTATGCTTGGCCCAGCACGCCAAAAATCACACCTCGGAGGAGTACAAAAATGACAACTCTCAGATGTCCTCGATTGCTGGCCATGTTTCTCGCACTTGCATCTTTGTGTCATTATTGCTATGTGTATAGGTCATGCATTTTCGCTGTTTACTTTAGCTATCTTCTTCTTTGCGCTGTTTTACCACCTCCTTACTTCACTGAATCCACTATTCCTGTTCCTGTTTCTTTGGCTGTATTTCACCTGACGAGAAGGCTTGAAAGTATACTTGTGAAAACAAACATTTTCAAGATGTTCGTAATGAGCCTCAAGTGTTTCCTTTGTATGTGTATTATCGCATTTTTGTCTCAGAGGAAATTTTTTAAATTATTTTAACAACAATTATGATATCGGCAATATGCTTGCCGTCGCCAGGAGATCTGCAACTACAATCAGTTTCTACTTTGCAATAATAATGGATTAGTATTCTTTGTCGGTACCAACGCATTCGTAACTCCGATTAGTTACTTCGCCTCTGCTTCTCTTTTCTTTCTTTCTTTTTTCATGTGTTGAAATATGTTTAACTCATTGGATTTCTTTGTATTCTGTATCTCGTTATCGTTATCTTTTCCTCTAGCCCTCTCGCTTCGGATGAGCTTTTTTATGGCAGCTTTTTTAAGTGAAGGCTATATACCTGCCTTATGCAGGTTGATGCCAGCGCGAACAAGCAAAATAATAATAATATATGGGCAACATTATTTCTTCATATCCTCTTGGGGCGGAGCTTATTGTATTCCTTGGTATTTGATATTCAGAGATAGCAGTACATTCCAACGACTGAGCAAGTATCCAAATTTACATGAATATCCAAAATATTTGTGGGTCTTAAAAGTTGAACCTGTTTACCGCTGATCACGTTGTTGAAGAGACTTGTTCTGATTGTTTTGTACCATTTTCCTGCACTTGGTTTGCATGTATGCAGGTTGGCAGCGCTGTGATAATGTGACTGATTTGGATTATTTGGTACTTCCATCTCCGAAGACCAAATCCCAAGCATCTCAGCAATGCCAGCGTTCCTCACAGGGAGCGGAAATTGCTGGGCCCCGGAATGAAGCTGAAAATGATTGCCTGCATAAGTTTTACCCCTTGACTGGAATCTGGTTGGGAATCTCTCTTGTAGCTAACAAATGGCAATCTTCTTCTGGAGAAGTAACTTGGACGAACTTTGCGCCCGGTGAACCTAACGGAGGTGATCCTTGTCTCCAAATGTGGAATGGCCGTTATCCTGGTAAATGGGATGACTTGCCTTGTGCAAGCACATTACATTTTATTTGTCAAAGAGGTAAGGGACTTTTCCTGTTTTAACTGTCAGCGTTTCTTTTTACAAATTTTACTCCAGCACCTTTTAAGCCTCAGTCGTTTTCTCTCCTTCTGTGACACTTTGCTCAGTGCTAACCTGTCAATCAGCTGGCTCATGATCAGGACAAGAGCGTCAAAGTTTGCGGACAATTAGAACAGTTTATCAAACAAGTTACTATGATACGAAGTAGTGGTTGCGACTTCGGCAATGATTTGTAAGAAAAGGTTTGCTCCCCACACTGGAGCTCGCGCTATTCCGCCGACTTCACTTGACACTTGACTGACTCACCACTGCCATCCAGAGCACACGAGAAGTCCATCGAACCTTTGACTAGGCAAACCTGCAAGAAAGCACCACTCCCTGCTCAATACACAGTGTTTCGCGGGAATTCACCCCTCATCAGTTGAGCTTGAGTAGGCTGAGGAAGATTGTGCCTGAAGAGCACCACTTATATAGTGCTCTCCAGGCACAAACATCAGCAGGGATACAAACTTACAGAGACGCTCCGTTTCCAGCGCGAAAAACACCTCGTGAACACCAGATAGCAGGGTGAGTCAGTATCGCTCCTGGACGTTGAGAACAGACGTCAAGGACCCTCGGTCATTCACAACGCTGTCACCTCCAAACCAACTAGTCGCTAGCCCGCGCTAGCCCGCGCTGGACACAACAGTACGAAGTAGTGGTTGCGACTTCGGTGATCATGATTCGCCGAAGTCGCAAACACTACCTCACCAACATCCGGGATGGTCTGCGCTAACACAACCATCGCAGCACCTGGACAGCGTCGATGTGACACAGCGACTTATCATACCGACGGAACCCCTCCGAGGTATCTTTACAATTCTTGAAGCCCTTGGAAATGAAGGCCGAGTCCTTCGATGGCGCTCTCAGTTTCCCCTGCTGATCAGCAACGGAACACAAAAGGCTGGTCACCTACTGGTCACAGAATCTGTCAACTCGTCGTAGTGCAACCATTTGAATTTATCGAACCAAGCTGGTTGAAACGGACGCTCGACAAATGGCTGGTCACAGAATCTGTCAACTCGTCGTAGTGCAACCATTTGAATTTATCGAACCAAGCTGGTTGAAACGGACGCTCGACAATCGATGTCCACCCGAAACTTTGCTTTGGAAACGCAAAATTCCGAGGCTGATGAGCCTCCATGGTGTCTGCACAAACAGCAATCAGAGAGGAAAAAGACTCACAACTACGAGAAATATTTGGGAAATGCAGAACATAAAAGCAGTGAATCAACAAAATCGCTAGGCATGCAAGCGAAAAGCTTTTGTGGATGCGCACCCCACAGGTCAGGGGCCCCTACACATATCCGGTATGTGTACGGCCCCCATTCACTGTGTGCCGCACACATGTATGGACTACACCAGGGAGCCCTACACATACCCGCATATCCAGTATGTGTAGGAATCCCTGGTGTAGGCCATACACATATCCAGAATGTTTAGGACTCCCTAGGCCCTGGTCTAGGCCATACACATATCCAGTATGTGTAGGACTCCCTGGTGTAGGTCATACAGCTACACTAGGTAACCCTGCATGTATGTACACTTGCAGGACTCCCTGGTGCAGGCTAGGGAGTCGTATAACCCACTGATGCATGCCAAGCATCCTTGCAGGGCCTTCAAAAAACGTGGTCGGGCGAAAAAGTGGTCTGGACAAAGCCGGACCGGCAATCATCTTGTGCAATAATTCTCGTTTGCTGTAGCTTCCAATGTTATCTCTAACTATTTACAAATCAGTACTCAGATGGTGAGGCAAGGAAAATATTAAAAGTGGAAACAAGGAAAACAGTGGGGCATAAGTTATGGGTTAGAGTCCACCAACCAAACCAGATTTTAAACAGTCAAATGCGCACAAGGCAGCGCCAGACTGACAAGGAGTACTGAGACATTCCACAGTAAAAAAAGTAATTATCACTAATATCCATGAACTTTCGTTGGTTAGAGCTATCTACTAGTGCTCAAGCTCACTTTCTTTTCCGTGAAATGTCTCAGTACTCCCTGTCAGTCTGGCTTTTTCTTGTGCCCGTTTGACTGTTCACAATCTGGCCAGTTGGTGAACTCTAATGCATTTGACTTCAACTTGTGCACCAACTTTTTCCTTTTTTTCAATTAATTTTAATAATATACAAGTCACTAGGAAAACTGCTACAATTTCGATGCTGCGGCGGAAGTAGTGTACAGGAACCTTGAACATTATTGTGTTGTCAATCTACGAATAATGCTCCCTGGAGGAAAGATGTATTCCACCATTGAATCCTGATGAGACTTTCCTAAATTTCCCTTTGTCTCCTTGCAGTTGCTGTGAAATGCAATGTTTCAGCACCAGTTTCTGGCAGCGTGAACGTTACCTCCATCCACATTGGTGAAAGTGTGCAGTATGAATGCAATACTGGGTATGACCTGGTGGGCCCAGCAACCGCTCACTGCACTTCTCAAGGATCGCTAACTGAAATGCCTATTTGTCGAGGTTGGTCACACATATTCTATATTACAGCATGGCTTAGGATACATTGACTACTGTAAAGTATGAACACCTTTGCTAGAGATTCAGTCTTTTACCATTGCACGGGAATAGTGCTGCCACCTATCCACTACCGACGTATCCAGCTCAATTGTCGGGGAACAGTCCCGCAAGTCCATCGCTTGATTTAATCTGCGGTTGCTATGCCACTGAGTGGCAGAAGTGTGGAAAAAATGAAAACCAAGCGCCTCCGCTTGCAGGAAAACGTTGTGGCCGTGTGAAGCTGTGTAGCCGATGAGCGTCATGACTCTGGCAATGCTCTCTTCTATTGCCTGGCGATTGTTTGAAGGGAAAGTTCAGAGGTTTCTTTTCCTCCTACGTACTTTGACTGCGAGAATTAAGTAAGAATTAGCGGAGTTACAATTGGTTGAACATGTCCACCTCCTGAGTACCGGTGATTCTCAGCTGTGTGCCGCATTTCTATCAGGCGAAATTACTGGTCAGTCGGCGACAGGCATTTTTCACAAAAATTGCGTTCACCTGCTGGGAGAGAATGCGTGTACTCGAGTCTTATCCTGAGCAGGGTTTTTTCTTCTTTTTTTCAGCTCCAGTATAGCTGTATTTTTCATTGCAAAGCCGTCCTCAATTGTTATGTTCGTTGCTCGAAGATGAAGGCAGAGGACATAGGAGCCTGATTGGAGTTTCTCGTGGCATAGGACGGCCACACAGAGACACTTTGGGATTTTCTGAGTATAAAATACCGTACGCACAATGCTGAGATCAATTTGTGCGATATCAAAGTGTTTGTGATCTACCACATCGAGCAGAACGGGATCCAAACACAAGTTTACCGACGGTTAGGCTGCCGACCTGACTGGACAAATGATCCCTGGCTTCACCAGAGGTCAGAAGTCGGACACCATTTCTCAGATGGAATCATTTTTTGTTGTAGCAGTTGCAGGGCAGATCCCCACCACTACTTCAACAGAAGATGGCTCCAAAGCATGCCTGGAACAAGCTATATCGAGGTTGCAAGCCACCCCTCTCAGCAAGAAATTTCAATGGTGGAAGATATACTATGAAGAGAATTTCAAAAAGTATGTTTCGCGGAGCGATCACTCAACCTACGTCATTCAAACTTTGCAGGATGGTTCAGACGTACATGCTAGGCATTCTAGACGATGATATTATAGCTGACACACAGAGTCACACACACAGCAGATTGTTGTGCACAGATGTTGTGGTTCGCATTCAGCCCGCACACTACTCATACACAGTTCCACTGATACACACGGATCGGAGAGTTTAGAAATACATTGCATTGAAAGGGAACATGGAAGTAAAGGTAAAACCAGAGAGGAAAGACATGTAGCACAGGAAGCCAAGATGGATCCAAGGAGAAGCACATTACACACATGCGTACACTCTAGATACAGAGAGTGCTGCATAGCAACAGTAACTACGCGCATGGCAACAGTAACTACGCGCATGGTAACAGTAGCTAAGATAATCTGATAATGACGTCACACATAGCATGCATGTAATGTAGGACTGTGACGTTGCACATAACATGCATGCAATCCATAACAACAGATACTAAATTAGTGGACGTCGTCATCTTCTTCTCGATGAACTCAAATGTACTATGACGTGCTATTTCGCCTGACGTGTGTGCCGCATTTCTATGCAGTGTTTGAGTGACAGAACACATACTCAATCATGATCATCATGATTCACAGAAGCCTTTTTGCGATGCAGTGTATCCAAACTTGATGCGCATCCGTTCCGTTGCGGAAGCTGTCGACTGATGCACGACAGCCATGCGTGCAGCCCAGCTAGCACAAAAATATAAAAAATGCCGAGGTTCTTCAATTTCATCGCCGATATTTAGTCGTCGTAATGGAGGATTGCGCTCGACGTGAAGCTGCTGAAATTGTAGTTCCGAACGCGGCCACAGCCATCAAGAATTAGTGATCTTTCTCGGACCAAGACCATTCGACTCAGCACCCCGAAGACTACAACTGTTGCAATTTTGATTTTTGCCGTAACTTCCCCTTAAAACACAAGCAGAACCAGGCTGTTCTAGCGCTCATTTTTGGTGCATGTCAAACATAGGCTGTGCACTGGGGCAAACACATACTTCAGCATAAAGTGCATCACAGCCACATGTTTGAAATTTCAACTCCACCCATTTGCTGGACTTCGAGCTTTGGCGCTTGAGTATTTTACTTTGCGCTATATCGAATGAAACATCGTTGGAAAGCTGCGTTCAACAGCTTTCGAATGAGCTGTTATATGTTGAATTTGAAGTAGTCAGACCAAAGTTATTGCTGTTTGTACAGTGCTCTATGCTCGGTTAGCATGACATGCATCACACTTGAAATTTCAACTTCAACCGGTGCATTCAACCGTGATTTTCTCGAACAAAAATGCACAGCACACGGTTTTCTCGATGGTAAAAATGATTCCGTAGGTTTTCAGCAGTAGTTTGCGATTATTCCGACCGCGGTGCAGCAAACGACCATGGTTTACAGAGTCGAATTCGACGCATTCACACTATGTTTTGTTTTTGTACGAGAAACCACGAACCTCGAGAACAGAATACTGAATGATAGAGGTGCTTGCAGAAGCAATTGTGGTGGTAATACTGGAGCATCTCCGCCGACTTGAGGTCTCATCTTCAGCGACACTTCAGTGCGCCTTCCTTGAATGCCTGCATTCCCTTCTGCGTGGGAAGGTTGCGTAGCAGGGCAGATGAGACACGATTCCAGTCTTGAATCGTGGCATGGGGGAATGATCGGAGAGCACTACTACGGGTTTCGGCGGGCATTGTCGTTGCTAGTTGGTGCTGGTGCTGGTTCTCTTGCTGGTGACGAGTGGAGCGCCGGTGCTGGTTAGCAACTGCCCTCGTAGGCTTGTAAAATCACATTTCGCACAAGTGTGCTGTGTGTGTGTGCGCACTTACAAAACGCACAACATGAGGCACCCTCATGATTTAGCTTACTAGTGCTTTGATCGTGAGCCTCATGTACCGCTCTACTTTCCTGAGCGAATGACAGACTTGGCACACCAAGTCTGTCATTCTAAAATAATCTGACGTCTCTAATTATAAATTTGAATTCGGATTGTGAGCCAATATAGTTATAGGCATGGACGGGTGATGCTAATTATTTGCTGCGATAATGCTAACGGCACTGCTCATATTATGAGGATATAATGCCACTTATAATGCTCACAATACTCCATAATGTAAGCTTGAAAGTAGGAAAAGTCGATTTCAGAAAGGCCAAAGCGTAGAAAAAAAATTTCTACAGCAGTGAGCATGTTGTCTAAAACAATCCACTGAGAGAAGGTTGTCTGAACCCCCCCCCCCCCCCCCCCCCCCCCCCCACTGAGAAGGTTGATTTGCAACGTCACCTCTCCGGACGAAGCCGGACGGGTTCAGATGCACGATTTTCGGAACTGGACCTAGCCAGCTTCATGCATGACACCGTTGTCGACCGGCAATTATGCTTGCATTATGCCACCTGGAAAAAAGGGACTATAATGCCAGCCATAATGCAAGCATTACCCGCCCATGCCTATCATGGCTGTTCGCGCACGGACATCTAACAATATGGAGTCGTTCGGTGCGATTTACGTACCGCGGTACAAACCTCATGAATACGATGGGAGTTTGCGTTTTGGGATGAAACTCATGTCACTCTCCGTGTGGTTCCACGATTTCGCGAGTCAAACCAGGATTTATTATTTTGAAAGCGCTCGAGCGAGATACTCAATATCCAGACAATTTGAGAGAGAAGGAAGGTAAAAGGAACTCCTCCCGTGGTCAACCAGCATCCTGACCTTTTCGAACCTCTCCAAGCTGTCCCTGGTAGTCTGGATATTGACGCACGCACTGACTTTCAGCTTCTCCTCGCCGGGATCACGGGTGCAACTTTCAAATTTGCCGATATGCACTCGAACAAACGCACAATTGGATCTACATCACAATTTCGGGGCTATCTGTGTGCTTGCTGCCTTTTTCAGCAATACCCCACATGTCTACTGGGCAGTTTCCACCAGGCCTCGGCCTCCTGGACTCAACAGCGACTCCAGCGCCAAGCCATCTGTCCCCTAAATCGCATGAAAAGGTAGCTCAGCATCGAACGCACGGGACCTGAAGTTTGTGCACGGGACGTGATAAAACTTGGTGAAGATAGCCAGAAGATAGTCCTCTACCTGGGAAAACTGAAAGCTAGACTGGGAAAACTCCTGAAAGGGCTTCTTGACGCAGGCATGTCAACGATGAATCAAGGAACGAGCGAGAAAGAACGCTTGACTTGTGCAACGCGGAACAAACTGTTCCTGAGACGAAGTTGGCCATGTGAGGTACCAGCGGAAAGCTAGTTTCAAGAGGAACACGGAATACCTGTTTTCCGGGTAAACCTGACCTGGTAGCTTTCTAAATCGAGCGAAAACCACAGCGAAATCGGCTGCTGAGAATTTGAAAATTTAAATTTCCTTGCCGATCGAGCCCAATCAAGACTTTTGGCTGCCATCTTGTTAAATGTCCAAATTTCGCGGAAAAAACCGCCGTGCCTATATTAGGGAGTTCAATCACGTGACCGGGCACATACATTGGGTCTCTACACGCGGATGTACGCATGACGTGGCCAGGTGGGCAGCGACGCCTTTTTTAACATGTTTTGCTGCAAGCTCAAATTTATCAGCACGAAGACAGCCATTTCCTGGTTCGTGAAGACAGTAGCTTTTGTTTGGTGTGTCGCTCGCCATCGTTGAACCGTTTTCAGATGTCCAAATTTATGGAGGATCTTTTTGATCGTGTTTTCAGTACTTTCTTCTGGTTGCTCGCCGAGGAAACGCTCATATTCGTGTAGAGCACCCTCGGATTTAGTAGGATCGAGTCGTCCTGTAACTTTAGGAAGTAGCAAAAGTCTGCCAAATTACCTGAACGATGGCACATCCCACAGAAAAGGAGACAGGTGACAGCAACAAGGACATCGTTCGAGATATGTGATAAGTGCTGGGTTCGACTCGGACGTCGCTGCTAATTTCAGTGGAAAACAACGATGCATTTCCATCGCTGAAGCGTAGTGCCGAGAGCTTGTCCAATGGTCTTGTGTTGGAGCTTTTCCAATTAAAAGAAACGGAGAAACTGACGTTCAAGGCTTTCAAAACATGGCATGAAGAAGCATTTCCATCGCTGAAGCGTAGTGCTGAGAGCTTGTCCAATGGTCTTGTGTTGGAGCTTTTCCGATTAAAAGAAACGGAGAAACTGACGTTCAAGGCTTTCAAAACATGGCTGGAAGAAATATCTGGGAGAGATCGTTCAACTTTAAATTTGAAAGTAGTGTCTGACAAAGTGAACAGACTGAAAGACAGACGTACTCAAAGCAAAGAAAGAGCAGTGGCATTTGCTTTCTGAGCAGGTATTCGAGCTTCCAGCTGGAGAGGCAGCAGGCTCTGGGTCCAGAGCTGGATCAAGCAGTGAAGCTGAGAGCAAATCTGCCGGGTCCAGTTGTGACCAGGCCACTGTAGTACTGCTGCTTTATTGTTCCAAGTATCAGTTTAGTTTAGTTTAACCCTTTGTGCGCTCAACTACTGGAAGAGTCTCTTCTTGGATATGGTCGACGTGTGCGCTGTCAATGCATACCGCCTCTTTCACTTGTGGCAGAGCCAGCATCCAGGGGTGATAAGTCGACGATGCAACTTGCAGCACTCGGATTTCCGCTGTAACCTCATCCGGCAGCTGTCATCGATTGATGAGCATGCACCGCCACCGAAGCGCTCGTATCGCCCAGTGCCTGTTCCGCAGGATGTCCAGGTTCCTGTTGCTCAGCTTCACATACCTGGAGTGAGGAAAAGGAAGAACTGCAGAAACTGCACAGAAGTGGGTAACAAGCAGCACCAGTGTGTAACCTACTGCACTACGTGCGATGTTCACCTCCACATCACGAGCGACCACGACTGCTACGCCGCTTACCATGCACGCCACTTCCCGTGAAGGATATCTTATCTCAGTGCTGTGAGTTTCTATCTTGTCTACTGTATATTTGTACATAAAAGTATGGTTTCATTTCCTTCCTATGGTGCGCTCTGTAAATAACGCGGCTATACACTTGATTATGACAATATGTGCCTAATATGGCAACAGTCGTAACCATGGCAACATTCTAACATAGTTTTTTGGATTCAGCCGAACGATTCCATTCAGAAAAACACAACTTCTAATAACATATTCTCAAAAACTGTGAAGTTACAGGGGATTATTGTCGGAATGGAAAATTTGGTCATTTTCTCCGAAACCAGTGGACTCACAAAGGGTTAAAATTAATATCTCTTATTTTTTTCTCACCCCACACCCCTCTACTCTGTTATCGGCCCTCTTAAGAGATGTGTTCATCACTGTTGAGTCTTCCGACCTTGGCTCGGAATAACACCAATAACTCAATTTCAAGTTCTTGTTCAGCATCATGCTCAAATTCACCCGATTTTCACGATTCAAATGGCGCTGGAAAGTTGAGATCGAAGCGCTTCATTTGATGTCTATCGTGCATGCGTCGTACCAAAGGGAAATCCCCTAGTACGTTCCAAAAAACTGCGAAGTCATAGACAAAAAGTAGCGCAGCCAGTATCTTTCACAGCTCCGAGATGACCTTCTGCAATGATGTCATACTCCTTCACATGCAGCTAGTGCTGCTGTGGTTCGGAAAAAGGACTGAAAGGCGATCTACAGTAGGGAACAAATCGAACATGTCATGATGATGACCTCTCACGATGTAACGAAGAGCAAGACGAGTTATTTTTTCGACCAGCAAAACAGAAAATAGTACGCGAACAAAGTAAACAGATGAAATGTAAGACACCCTCAGGATTGTCAAATCTACAAAACCAAGAACTCAGATCGGAGAACTTGTCTCGGTGAAGGGGGACACTGACGCTGGGAAAGGAATGAATGCAGAAAGAGAAATCAAAGATATCCATAATAGATATTAACCCTTTGTGCGCTCAACGAGCGATTTCGCTCGTTTCAAATGCGCGTCACATTTTTGATCGTCGCGCTTGACTGGTTTACCGCATCGCGCCGAGACTTCACCACCGCGTACCTGAGAAAATTTCCGTGACGTAGGTACTAAACATGATGTAGGTCGCCACTAAAATTTTTTTGATAGCACGCTTTGAAAGAGCCTTTGCAATTATGTCAAAATTAGAATTTGGACTTATCCAGCGATGGATGCAGACGAGGCGCTTCGCCTAATACAAGACGCGGACCAAGCAGATCTCCCAGTAGAGGATATCGCTTGCTCTTCAGGCGACGAGGTAGGCGACTCGGACAACGATTTTATTTCGTCTGACGAGGAAGATCGCCTGAATGACGATCTCTTTTCCGACTTGGAGCAAATAGGATCCGATTCGGCTGACGATATCGCTATTCCTGTTCCCGTCGCTGCTCGTGGACGTGGCGCTGGACGAGGCAGAGGCCAAGCAGTAGGTGTCCCCGCGCGTGGAAGAGGGCGAGGACGTGGAGCTGCGACAGGGCGAGGACATTGAGTTGCGACAGGGCAAGGACGTGGAGCTGCAAGAGGGCGAGGACGCGGAGCTGCAAGAGGGCAAGGACGAGGACGTGGTATACAGTACGAAAATTGTAGTGGCTATGATGATGTTGACCAGCTGCAAACCAATACACCTGAGTTCAACATAACTGGCACTGGTTTGAACCTACCTGATAATTTCGCTCCAACATGTGAACTTGATTTCTTCAAACTATATTTCCCGGACGAAGTTGTGGATTCAATTGTCAAGTTTACAAATTTGTATGCGCACGAGCATATCGCTGAAAAAAAGACGTACCAGACGGATGGTGTGTGGAAGGAGACCAACCGTAATGAGTTTTACGGCCTCCTTGCATTTCTCTTCTTCCAGGGATTTCATCCTCTGCCTGCGACGAGGGACTACTGGCGCGTTACGTCGTTGTACAACGGAAACTATGCACGCTGCATGATTCGAACCTACCGGAGGTACTTAGCGCTGATGTGCTTCATCAAGATTGTGGACTTCAGGGCAGAGGATACAAATGATCGACTTCGTAAGGTGCGATACCTTCACGACCATCTGCAGGCGGCCTGCAAGCGTTTGTTCATCCCTGGCAAGTGCGTTAGTGTTGACGAGCGCATGGTCAAGTGCAAGGGACGCGCTCCTTTTACGCAGTATATGCCCAAAAAGCCCGTCAAATGGGGCTTCAAGGTCTTCGCTGCCTGCGACGCCCAAAGCTCCATTGTTGTAAACTTTGAAGTTTACACAGGCCAGCAACCTGGAGGTGAAAATGGCCTGACTCATGCTGTGGTGATGCGGCTGGTCAGTGACGTGCGCGCCGGAAGTGTGATCTACACGGACAATTTTTACACTTCCGAAACCCTGGCCACATCTCTTCGTACCAAGCAAATATCGTTGGTTGGCACCGTCCGCGCGAACCGCACTGGATTTCCAGCCGTATTGCGGACCGACATGAAACAGTTCGAGAAACATGCAGAGCGAGGTGCAACACGCTATGTTCGCAACGGAGATCACCTGTACCAGCAATGGAAGGACAAGCGGTGTGTGTCAATGTACAGCAACATACATCAGGGCCATGAGCATGACACAGTAACAAGAAATGTCAAGATTGATGGTGCACACCAGCAAATGGAAGTGCAGAGGCCAATGTGCATCAGAGACTACAACAGCAGCATGGGTGGAGTCGACACGTTCGATCAGCTGATCGAAACGCACCGTGTGCTTCGCAAAACGAAGAAATACTGGAAGAGTCTCTTCTTGGATATGGTCGACGTGTGCGCTGTCAATGCATACCGCCTCTTTCACTTGTGGCAGAGCCAGCATCCAGGGGTGATAAGTCGACGATGCAACTTGCAGCACTCGGATTTCCGCTGTAACCTCATCCGGCAGCTGTCATCGATTGATGAGCATGCACCGCCACCGAAGCGCTCGTATCGCTCAGTGCCTGTTCCGCAGGATGTCCAGGTTCCTGTTGCTCAGCTTCACATACCTGGAGTGAGGAAAAGGAAGAACTGCAGAAACTGCACAGAAGTGGGTAACAAGCAGCACCAGTGTGTAACCTACTGCACTACGTGCGATGTTCACCTCCACATCACGAGCGACCACGACTGCTACGCCGCTTACCATGCACGCCACTTCCCGTGAAGGATATCTTATCTCAGTGCTGTGAGTTTCTATCTTGTCTACTGTATATTTGTACATAAAAGTATGGTTTCATTTCCTTCCTATGGTGCGCTCTGTAAATAACGCGGCTATACACTTGATTATGACAATATGTGCCTAATATGGCAACATTGGTAACCATGGCAACATTCTAACATAGTATTTTGGATTCAGCCGAACGATTCCATTCAGACAAACACAACTTCTAATTACATATTCTCAAAAACTGTGGAGTTACAGGGGATTATTGTCGGAATGGAAAATTTGGTCATTTTCTCCGAAACCAGTGGACTCACAAAGGGTTAAAACAGAGAGATTCCAGGCTGTCCAAGAGAGTGTTCAATACCGAGTGGTAGAGCTGGTTCAAACAATAGGAGGACAGTCTTTTGACTCTTACATCTGTATTTTTGCTTCTATCCAAATCAAGGGCTATTGACTGGGTACAGCTACTGTCGTCAGGTTAATGCAGTCCTGAAACGGACTCAGGGTTCCAAATATATCAACTTTACAGATGGTCATGACATGTGCAGGCTATACAATGGCAGATTACTAAGTGTGAGCGCGTACACGGCGAGATGCGCATCAACATTGCAACAAGCAACCGGTCGTGCTGCCTGGATCAACCAGTTCGAGCCTAATTCAAGGGATAGCATTGTATACGTCTCCACAATAGACGGTCTTTCCACTACACCTCCGACCTCCGAAATGGCCGTCATATGTGAAATACGTAAGAGGAACACAGCTTATGTTATCTTGCAATTATGTATCTCACATCATGCAAGGTGCCATCACTAGCTGTGTTGTTGCAGGCTGAAACCTTCGGGCTGACCTGTCGGACCATTAGTATGCCATATAAAATATTCTGCTACATGCTTTCCTTTCTTATAACTGCTTATAATCATGACATTTTATGCATACTGAAGTACTTGGTGAAACTGGGAAATGATTGGGAAACGCTGCTAGACACGCTCTCGGACAAAGACATTTCAGCACACGAAGCACACAAGCCATAATTTTTTTGTTCGACTAGGCCATTCATTCCATTACTCTTCAGGTCGAATGCAATGGTGATTAACAAGGTAGTAGCAAGTCCTTATAACCGGCACTTTTGGCGGTCAGAGTATTGACAAAAATAGCACTTGAAAAATAGCGCTAGTGTGCGAATGGGGTCGCCTCTCATGCAAGAAACTGGCTGTGAAACTGAAACAAACAAAGAGTGAATTATTTTTTGGATACGGTGCATGGATGATTCGGAGTTCTTCCTCTCCGCTGCCTGGCTATTTTCTAAAGGGAAATCGACCGTGACAACCGCCTTCTCTATAGGCCTTTGTGTGGGAAGCATGACTGCCTGTGTGGTTCAAATCAGTCGCCGTTTGCAAGATTTATTTTGAACGACGATGACGGCTACAGTACTTGCAAATCTCTACGATGCGCTGGATACTCTGAGCGTTGAGCTGGATGTGAGGGAACTGCGATCTCAGTTTAGCGAGCGATTCCTGAGGTGAGCGATCTCGGCCATTTTGCAAAATGGAACTGATTCAGAGTAGCCGATTACTCTCTTGTACATCGCTCTGGTCTTGCCTGCACATCGTGACAAGATATTATATTTTGATGCGGCACTGTATCACTCGGAATCACCCACCTGCCGCTTTCAAGATCCACCTGAAGTCTAGCTAGACATTTCAGGTACTAGTAAACTAACTTGCTAACCAAAATTGGGATGACACGGGCTGCCAAGTGAGCATTGGCAACATAAAAACAAAGCCGAAAGATTACCGACAATATTGCTGACGCGGACCAAGTACAACAAAAAGTATCGCGGCATCTTTTTCATATAGGCTCATGTCGTTGGGCAGTGTGGCAACTTGTCCAAGAAATCTGTTTGATGATTGCTTCGGGATAGTCATTGCTTCGCAGCAATTTCTTTGTCATACCAAGACTTTCACAGGCTTATGCCGGTGAGGACGAATTCTTTTGACCTCTGACTAAGTGCTGCTTACCGACCGCATACTTGACGGAGCGAGGGAATGAAAGTCCACGTTGACGCCGCTGTGCTTAGGCTTCTGTACATGTGGTGTGTAATGGTGCCCTCAGGGGTAACCTCAAAACGAACGTCAAGAAAGGGAACAGGTCCACTTTCACTGCTTTTGTATGTGAGCTTGATATGAGGGTGCGGGCTATTGCAGTGGGAAACGAATACCTACAGAGCAGCTGAGGCATAGATCCAAATTAAAATTTTATGGTCGATATACCTTCCATAGGGAGATGGCTGGAGGGTGGCAGTCTCAAACATATGGATCCCGATGCAGTGCATGAAGGCAATAGCAAATGGAGGAGCGAGTTGGTTGCCCAAGGCAACACCTTCCCTTTGCCTGTGGACTTGATCTCCAAACGAAAATAATTGTGAATAAGGACAAGTAGCAGTACAAGAATCAAGTGCATCAGCTTCACGACTTCAGACTGAAGCTGCCTCTGAGATGTGGAGTAGCCCCGCAGTGCCTGACACCTGGCATATAGATCAGTGTTTGTTCCAGCCATGCTGCGACCCACAGCTAATTGGGAACTCGTGGCCTGGCACGAGGAAAACATGGATTCAGTGAACGGGATTTTCGGTCTTTGACCACTTGCTGGTGAGGTGATCTACTCACCTCCCACAGCTTTAGGAGCTGCATCTGCACCCTGATCCTTGAAGGGTGGTGGCGTTCCTACGGATGCGGAAAGCCCGGCCTCCAGCCGAGTTTCACGCGAACCGTGATTTTTTTAAATTTTGAGATGATAGTGGGATACATAATTCCGATCAGGCCAAACTAAAGAAGGTGTGTGGTTCGACTCACCCGACCGACCGTACAATTTCAGCCCGACCGTAACTTTTTTTCGGCGGGCTGTCGTGTGACTGACGTACGTGGACTGAACACGTCCACGTCTACGTGCTGTGCGGCGTGAGTCTGCGGACGCAGGCGGCTCCTTTTGGACTTGACTTGTAGTTGTACTGCAGTGCAGTGCAGTGAGTGGTACGACTGCTGCCTTGTGCTGGTAGTAGAGTCTACTCGATACGCGTATACAGTGTATTTACATGTACTAAAAAATATATTAAAAAAAAAAAATCCGCCCGCCCGCCCGTAAAAAAAATGTCCATGTTAGTCGAACCACACACCTTCTTTAGTTTGGCCTCATTAAAAAAATCAATTTCACCAAACACAGCCACTAAGGTCGATTTTCTGGGATATTGGGCCATTTGATCGTGGAGTACGCCAAGTTCTTCAGTCGAACAGAGAGCTTGATGGCCTCCACGGTGGCGCTAGTAGTTGTTGTCTCCGCTACAATCTTCTGAATGCCATGGAAGGAGCCATACAGGCATAGCCTGAGAATCAAGAACCAAGCACTTTCTTTTATGTCCGTCACGAAAATACCGTGCAAAGCGTATTGATACCAGGCTATGCTGTTGAAGAATGACAAGTCGGGACTTTGCGCCAGCTGAATGACAACCTAAAAGTCAAACTATTTACCTTTCCCCTTCGCTGCAAACACACGTGCATTGATTTTATTTGTTTTCGAAAGTGCACCATCGTGCTGGTACAAAAGTGGCTGGCGGGCTTCTGAGCACTTCGTCCAGCCATGTGGTCTTTCAAACTGTTTCTCATATTCGCACTCCTGTGTCATGCGCCTGGGGTTTTGTTCTGGTGAAATCCTTTCCATAGTCGGTTCTGCTTCGCCGATTTTAATCGAAAGGACTCTATGCTTTTTGGAGGCTCAAAAGCACGCAACACGCAACTAAGGAAGTTTCAGAAGTAGTATCAGAAGTATGAGAAGTATCAGAAACCCGGATTATGTCATTCATGAAGCACAAGATATCCGTACCGTTACCTTGCACATGTACATTGCATTATTTGACCTCACTATTATCAATGACACATGCATCGTATTGTCCATGGCACCACATTATGTTGTTCTGTGGTGATCAAAAATCCCACCATCTTCCTTCTTCTCTAAATGGGTGCCCCGATTCCTACTGGTATTAGCAATATGATGTAGATCTAATATTTTTTGTATATGTTCGCACTCATTCCCCCAGCATTCCCATGCCGGACCATGTTTAGAGAGAGCCCGGCTAGCTCGGTGGGTAGAGCATGAGACTCTTTATCTCAGGGTCGTGGGTTCGAGCCCCACGTTGGGCACCAAATGTCGTCTCGGTTTGGGAACGAGCTGCCTCTACGATACCCTTGCCACGCCGCACATCAAACGGACTAGTCAAATTGAGAAAGAGCTTTTCTTGGATTTTACCTCACGAGGCGACTGGAGAGCTCATAACTAACAACTAACACTGACAAAGAACGACTGACACTGAGACAAGACGAGACAACAAAATATAATAGTGAAGGCGTGCAACGGGGACAAGACGAGCAAGTGTGTACACACCGGGGACAGAAGACGGTGCAGCCGCATGTACGCAGGAGTCAAAAACAGCTCAGTAGCGTGTACCACGGCTCAGCAGCATGTACAACGAAGAGACACTAAAGCAGCAGCATGTACGACAAAGAGACGCAAGCGCAGCCACATGTACAACAATAGTCTCACACATGTTAAGTCTCGCACATGTTTAGTGTCGCACATGTTTAGTGTCACACATGTTTAGTCTCGCATATGTGAAGTCTCACACATGTTTAGTCTCGCATATGTGAAGTCTCACACATGTTTAGTCTCGCATATGTTTAGTCTCGCATATGTGAAGTCTCGCATATGTGAAGTCTCACACATGGCTAAACATGTGTGAGCCTAAACATGTTTAGTCTCACACATGTTTTTTTCTCGCACATGCTTAATCTTACATGCTAAGTCCCACACATCTTTAGTCTCACACATGTTAAGTGTAACACATATTTAATCTCACACATGTTTAGTCTCAAACATGTTCCGTCTCAAACATGTTTAGTCTCGCACCTGTGTCATGGACAAAATTGTTTGAGAGCCACCACATCGAGCAGAACGCGATCCAAACACAAGTTTGCTGACGGTTAGGCTGCCGACCTGACTGGAACAATAATCCCTGGCTTCTCCAGATGCCAGTAGTCGGAAACCATGTCCTTTGCCGCGACAACCATCTCCAAACAAAACTCCATCTTCGTCGTGAAAAGATTTAAATTACTAAATATTCAAAGGAGATTCGCGGTCTCACGCTTTCCCAGATCGAATCATTTCTGTTGTAGTAGTTGCAGGGCAGATCCCCGCCACAACTTCAACAGGGTTTCGCTTCACAGCATGCCTGGCACAAGCCATATCGAGGTTGCAAGCTATCCCTCTTGGCAAGAAAGTCTAATTTCAATGGTGGAAGGTGTACTATGAGCAGAAATTCGAAAGGTATGCTTCGCGGTGCGATGGTTCTACCAACGTCATTCAAACTTTGCAGGATGGTTCTGACCTACATGTTAAGCATGGAACTCGGAACGGCACAACAGCTCACTTTCGCTTCTTGTTCGACTTCTTCCCCAAATTCAACAGTTGTTCACAATTCAAACTGTGCTGCAAAGTTGAGAACCAAACACTTTCTTTTATGTCCTTCACAGATGCGCTGTGCGAAAGGGAAATCCCCAGGCACGCTCTAAAAAACTGCAGTCATTTACAAACATATTTGCGTTTGCTCTGGGCCGTGATTTCCGCGTTCATCTTGTCGCCGCTTAGTGTATCTGTATCATATCGCAAGGAACTTTATTTTGCCGGAAAGATGAGGTCAAGATCTTTCCAAGGGTGAACACTGGTCTATGCACAGCTATGTATTGCGTTAACTCGAATCTAGTGGATGAGCATACTTCAAAAGCTAGTTAACTCGCACATAGCACACAAAGGGCTACAGGGTAATATACACAATTGAAAATATGTTCCCGGGTGGGAACGTTGACGGAAAAAAGGTTAAGCATGCTTTCTCTTTGGAGTCACTTTCCTACAGCACCTCATTGCATATACACCAGCTGCCTTTCATTTCTGCATCACACTGCTGATGGTCAAGGAGTGAAAAAATGCTGAATATACAGTTCAGCACCGAGTACGACCATGTGAATGTTTGATTTCGGGGATAATAATTTCTCATCCTCTTCTTTTTCAGCTTGTAATCCTACTGCCCGGGATCACATCGCAAGCATAACACAAGATGGGTTTGTAACTTGTGAAATTGGATATGCCTACCTTCACCCTCAACCAGTGTGTAATGGAACGTCGACAATCAAAAGTTGCACGAGTAAGTGAAGCAGTAAGGTGATATCTAGGTTTCTTTAAAAAATCTAGCGACGCCTAAGAAAGAGAGATGAAGATGCCCTTATTCTTATTCTTATTATGATTATTATTATTGAAGTGTGAGTTACGAAGTCTGAGGAAAATGTTGAACGACCTCTGCTGGGATGACGACTACACCATAGCTCAGTGGTTAGAGCATCGCTGGCTACAAGCGAAGGTCCCTGGTTCGAGTCCTGGTGGTGACGGTCAATTTTTTCTTCAGACTTTTCCCGTTTGTCTCTTTCCCTCAAACCAGTTAATATTATTATTATTATTATTTGGAAAGGATTGGGAGAACTTCTAATTCAAAGGATCAGTCGGGGAAGTTGTTACTCCACCACTATGCTCTCTATCTCTTCCAGCTAGCACTCCAGCACACTCGCACATGCACTGAGCCACAACTATTAACAAGGAATCAAGAGAGTTGAAATATTGAAATGGTGGTAAAGTTGGGAGAAAAGAAAACTGTTCTTTTTCCACGAGATCCAAGATCCATCAAGAAAAAGGACATGCACAAAATGGCGACCATGTCGTCCATTGACGCGTAATCATGGTAATCACAAACTAGTGCAGCGACCAAAGAAAAGACACAAGTGAAGAAGAAGAAACAGCGCTGCAGCAAGAAGATCGGATCGCTGCAGTCGCTAAAATGCACTAGCCTACTGACTGTAGTTCCACGTGAGCATGCAGTCACGTGGTCATAAACAGAGTGCGTACACACTCACGTCATACCGATACGTCATACATGACAAAAAGAAAAGAAAGGAAAGTCACGCGCGAGTCAAACAAATCAAAGAGCGCGAGACTACGTACTGCAAATACTACGAAGAATTTGTTTGATAACAAATGCACAAGACGAGGAATTTGTTGAGAACAATCGGACAAGAATATATATCTCTTCGAAACTAGAATGGAGTCCGTGATGAGAATTCCAACGAGCCTGGACGCAGCTACAAAGTAAGAATACACTCAAATAACTAATATCGTCAGAACTATTGTAACAATAAAAGCAGTCGATTTACCACTGTGTTATCTCTATATTTACACCAGTCCCCCAGGTAACACAGTGTCAATCGATGTAACGACTCGGGCGTTGGATATGACGACGGTTACGCAGACTACGATCGGCGACAGCCAACGGCTCAACATCGAGATCACACTGCACGGGCGACGCAGGCACAGATCCAGACTCACACGACAACACAGATTCAGCAGCAGGTTTAATCAACTGAATGTTAACAGTCTTTTGTTGATCAAAGCCATCCACAGAACGACACACACGCACGGAACCAGGACCAAGGATCTCGGTGACCTTCCACCCAGCTTCGAACGGTGGCAAGCGCTTCTGCGAACGAGCGGGGTGACGGAGCAAAACAGCATCACCGACAGCATATGGATTGGAAGTGCTGCCCTCAACAAAATCATGGGACGACAACTCAGCTTCGACAAAGTCACGAATACGAGCGGACCGACCAGCAAGGCTGTCCACCCAATCACTAAGGCTAGAACCAACAGCAGACTCGTCAACAATTAACTGACGTGGAAGCCATCCACACATAGCTTCCATTGGGGACACACCAATCGCGGCATGGAGTCTCGTACGGTAGTAGTGCAACAGCACAGGCAACTCAGACTTCCAATCACTCGAGGAGTCGAGCATCTTGCGAATGAGGGTCAACAAAGTGCGATTAAATCGCTCAGCAGAACCCTGAGACTGGGGATGCCGAACTGCACCAGTACGCACCTTCGTGCCAAACACACGAAACAATGACTCGACAATGCCATTCACAAATTCAGTACCATTGTCCATACGAACAACTTCTGGGGAGCCCCACTTCAAACAAACATCGGTCACAGCTTCAGCAACTGACTGACCATCATGCGCACGTAGGGGAACAACCTCGACCTATTTAGTAAACACATCAACAATCACAAGAACACAATGAAAACGCCCACTACGGTCAGAACCAAGTTCAAGAGTATCAATAACAATCTCCTGCCAAGGCTTACCGGGCAAATCTGGGCGCGCGGGATCAGCCGTCGGACCACTCTTACTACTGGCGGAAACACAAGCTTGACACTGCCGGACAAACTCAAGGCACAACGACGACATACAAGGGAAATAGCACTTAGAACGAAGCAGATGATACATCATTCGCCAATTACCATGGCCAGAATTCACATGAACAGAAGAGACGACAGCATGTTGCAAAGACGTAGGAATAACTGGTACAGACACCAAACCATCAATAGGCAACTTGATACTACGCACTAACATACCATCATCAACAAGCAATTGATCACGCACCTTTATGAACTCAGGAATGGAGACCAACTCACCACACTCCAATTGAGCAACAGCAGCTCGAATGGTGGGATCCTCCTTCTGGCCTTCACGTATCTGAGCTAACGTGACAGGGCCAACCACAGACAGGCAGGCGGCCACAACATCAGTCGGTGCAAGAGCCTTTGCATACTTGATCCAGTCAGTCGGGACACGCGTCAGCTGATCAGCACGGTTCTCGTTCGTCGGAATCCACACGACCTCGATCGTCAGACCTAGCGTAGCGATGAGATCATCGATGATCTGGAGGCGACGACGCACAAGCAGCTCTTGCAGACCACCAGTCTTCACACGTTTGGAGTTGGTTACTACTTGCGTCAGCCATGCTGCCACTGTCTTAGAGTCAGTCAACAGCTTGAAACGGGAAACTCCCCACTTAGCGGCAAGGGAAATGCCTTCGACAGCGGCTTCCAATTCAGCAATGTTAATATGCCGCTTGTCGTCAGGCTTACGAAGCCACGAACCATCCTCGACGATGTCACCACCGACCTCCAACGCCACGCCGACAGCAATATCAGATGCATCGCACCACACCTGGCATTGACTTTCACCGTTGGGGTCTACGTGCCACACACCGGTAGCAGGATCGTGCTGGCTTAAACGGCAGGCGAGACTCATGCAGCGCTGAACGAGATCTGCAGGCAACGGGTCGTCCCAGCCAAGCTTCTCCAGACATGCCAAACGCTTCAGCCAACTACAATGAGGACGAAGCCATGACGCAACAGGGTAGTGGCTCGTCAACTGGCCACACCACTTGTAGAGCTCACGTTTCGTCGTGACATCAGCAAATGCGACATGCGACTCATCACGCCGGGACCAGCGCACTCGACCATCATCAGACTCGTTGAGCTGCAGTCCTAGAATCCGTGCAGCCGACATCTCCATAGCAGGCTTAGTTGGCAGGCTGTAGCTAGCGAGCTGTTCTGTCAACACAGTCCGTTGACTCTTGGGGACAATGATGTCGTCGACATAGTTATCTGTATCGGGCAAGCTGCCGGTAGCGTACTTGATGATGGTGTCCATGAACTTCGGCGCCACACTCAGGCCAAACGCCATGCGCGTCATCACGTAGCGAACACCACGCCACTCGACAACTTGGATTTGCAAGTACGCCTTGGTAATGTCCACTAACTCAAATTCATCAGCTTCACCCTTGAGCCTCCACTGGCGCAACGTCTCGGCGCACACAGGTGACTTAGTGCCAGGGTGGGACACCAACAGCTTATTCAGGTGGCGATAATCTAACACCGGACGCACAGGTGTAGACGTCTTGTGCGGCTGACTCACAGCCATCAATGGCAAGACACAGGCAGGGCGACCATGGGTGTCAGCGTCGTGCTTCACCAGCCAGCCTCGCTCAATCCACTCATCTACAGCAGAGCAGAATTGCGTCTCCTCTGCCGCGGTAATTTTCTTCCGAGGATACTCGCTGATACCAGGACCAACACGGCCATTGGGTTCTTCACCAGACTTCCATACCCACTTGACCTCCCAACGCTTCTCAGCCGACATCCAACGCATCTCGCCGTCATCAACCTTCAGGATGACATCGTTGCCGTGAGTCTCTACATGGACATGATGCGACAGCTTCGAAGGCGGGCGCGTCGGAGCTGCAGACATTGGCGAGTCATCGGCAACTGGCTGGAGAACTTCTTTGTCAGCACTAGGGGTCATGCCGTCGGTCAGCTGATCCTCATACACTTGTACACGTGTAGGCTGGCCAGGAGGCGGCACAGCTGCTGATGCTACTGACACCGACGGGCTACTATCTGCATGGGCTGGACCGGGCCCAATTACGACACGCACAAGCTGATCATTAGCATACTCTACAGACAGGCGCCCACACAAGGTCACCAGGTCAATGCCAATCAGTACATCGGCGGCCACTACACATAAATCAGGCACAACGACAGCATTCAATACCACTTCATGAATGCTCACCGGTCCGTCGTGTCTCCAAAACTTGAGGGCCACTGTGCCACACGTCTGCATGGTGTTGCCATCCAGTGCTACGATGCCGTCATTATTGGTCAATGGCGTCACATCGAGACCAAGGCGATGCAGCAGGGCTTCTGTCACTAACGTGCGAGTGGATCCAGTGTCTATCACAGCTGCAGCACGCACACTGTTACTCGCGTCAGGACGAGCACATTCAACAAACACACGAGGTAGCTTCGGGCACGATGGCGATGCAGATGCCAGGAGGCACACGTCCTTGGAGTGCACCGAGGCCCCAGCAACTTCTGAGCTAGCCTGTGTATCCAGCCACTTCTTCCTCAGCAAGCAGTCCTTCTTGACGTGCCCTTTCTTGTCACAGAAGTGGCAGAACGGGTCCTTGCGCCGGTGCTCTTGCTTGGCCGCGTGACCATTCCCTGCTCGGGATAACTTCGGGCAATGCCTTTTGAAATGGCCCGGTTCTCCACAATGGTGGCAAAGCCGCGGTGATGGCGTGGCAACACTGTCTTGCACATATGTGGCAGCTGCGGACACTGCACCAACTCTGGCGCCGGTGGCTGATCGCAGTGCCCGGATCCTATCAAGGCATTCAGACACCTTCAGGTCCCTGCCTGCCATGGACAAACGGACATCCTTGGCAAACTCAATTGGCAATCCG